TGAAAGGTGTTCGCCTAGCTTCTTCAATGACTCGATTGATGTCTGGCTCCGAACTTGTAGCCTGATGAAATTTTGATTTCATTTCTTTTAATTCCTGGCTAACCTTCCTCATGGCCTCGAACTGGTCGAGGTTCTCCTGCTCGTACTAAGCTGCAAGTTGTTCTTCATCCCCAAGCTGCGTCTCTTCTTCCGGCGTCTGAGCTACATTATTAGTAGCACCGGGAGTTGTTTGTCCGCTGGTTTCATTTCGTGCAGCGGAACTTGGCGAGTTGAATATCCCTCTTCGGGTTCCCACCGGGTTTCCTGCACTTAAAGAGCGAACACGAGTTTGTATATTATTGACGTTTTGACTAAGAGATACCTGGGATGTTTGCAACGTATCGACGGCCTTCTCCACATCCGAGAACTTTTGTGATATGTCCGACATGGTTTGCTGCATAGCTTTGAGGGTTTCGGCCAAAGATGTCTCAACGGCGTCTCCTCCGGACATTGTCGCTTATCTCGGGAATGTAGAAAAGAAGAAATCTGACCACTCAAGAATCCTGACTTCCCCACAGGCGGCGCCAAAATGTGGATGTCGGATTCACACACTCAAGTATTTTGTTAAGTGGGAAAGATTATTCTTGAGGGACAAAAAATGAACACGTAAGAACTTGAAAATTGATACGAAAATTGCTATATTATTTCTCTCTTGAGAGGAAGATCCCCTTTTACATGGCCATTGGCCTCTATATTTATACATAGAGAATTTGACATTAAAATGAATAATTAAGTACAATTATTCCCTCTTAAATGTGTCCGTTTTGATTCTTCGACTTTAATGCTCAACGTTTGAATTTGAGTTGACTCTGATCTTTGTGGGCCTCGCCTTTTTGGCCCAAGTGTCCTTGAACTGACCTACCCGCGTCTTATATACCGAACTCACATCTCAGTGCAGTCACTTCGGACTCTCGAAGTGGTGACAACCACTTCGACCGTCCCCTCGGTTCATGGGCCCAATGGGCTTCATCTTTATGGGCCACCCGCTTGACTACGTGGCAATCTTTGGTTGGTCTCGTACTTCTGGTGCGGGATCCGACACCAACACTTTTTGATTGAACTTATTGAATCTCCGCAAAATCTGGATCCTCCCAGAATCACATTGATCTTACCCTTAGAACTCCTTGGTTCTTCCTCGTTGGAAAACCTTGGTCTTTTGGAATCTTGATCTTTGGAGTTTTCCTTTGCTTCGTGGTATTCCTTCACAAAATCTTTTATATCGAATTTAGAAAGATCGCCACTAGCCCAAAGCTCTGCGAGGTGCTTTTTAAGAACGCTGCAATCCTTGGTTAAATGTCCGGTTACTTTATGAATGTCGCAATATAGACTTTCATCACGGACCCAAGTGTTTGATCTTCCTTTCCCTTGGAATTGCTTCCCGACGGAATTGTTGAAGGGTTGCGACCCAAACTTCCTTGGTCCTTTGCTCACTCTAGGCTCGAACTTCTTGGTAGGGACGGTGACTGCCGGTTTTTCTTGTTTATTCCGTTTGGCAAAACTTTCTTTTTCGTCTTCTACCTCCATCCAATTGTTTGCACGGAAGAGTGCATCCTGAATTGTATCTGGTTTATGAAGTATTAAGTCTTCTTTAAACCTTGAATCATGTCGCAGTCCTTTTCGTAGGGCAGATAAAGCTGATTGCTGTGAGATTCTTGGGAGTTTTGATAGCACTCCTTTGAATTTGGTGATGAAAACTCGAAGTGACTCATTAGATCCTTGCGTTAAGTTCCAAAGATCGGCATCCGAAACGCTTTTATCCATAAGGATAGAGTATTGCTTTAAGAACACGGCTGACAGTTCGTCGAAATTGCTGATCGAACCCGGCTCTAATTGGGTGAACCACATTAGAGCTTGGCCACATAGATTCTCCGAAAACAGCTTGCAATAGCCTGCGTCCTCATCAGCTTCATCCAACTCGACTCTTCCTGCAGCGATCAGAAAGGCTGCAAGATAGCTTTTTGGATCCTCCAATCCGCTGTAAGGGTCCAACTTGAGCTTCCGGGAATCTTTGATCCTCAAACTTGCAATTCGCGGGATAAAAGGGGTTCGCCTTGCTTCTTCAATGACTCGATTGATGTCTGGCTCCGAACTTGTAGCCTGATGAAATTTTGATTTCATTTCTTTTAATTCCTGGCTAACCTTCCTCATGGTCTCGAACTGGTCGAGGTTCTCCTGCTCGTACTGAGCTGCAAGTTGTTCTTCATCCCCGAGCTGCGTCTCTTCTTCCGACGTCTGAGCTACATTATTAGTAGCACCGGGAGTTGTTTGTCCGCTGGTTTCATTTCGTGCAGCGGAACTTGGCGAGTTGAATATCCCTCTTCGGGTCCCCACCGGGTTTCCTGCACTTAAAGAGCGAACACGAGTTTGTATATTATTGACGTTTTGGCTAAGAGATACCTGGGATGTTTGCAACGTATCGACGGCCTTCTCCACATCTGAGAACTTTTGTGATATGTCCGACATGGTTTGCTGCATAGCTTTGAGGGTTTCGGCCAATGATGTTTCAACGGCGTCTCCTCCGGACATTGTCGCTTATCTCGGAAATGTAGAAAAGAAAAAATCTGACCACTCAAGAATCCTGATCTCCCCACAGGCGGCGCCAAAATGTGGATGTCGGATTCACACACTCAAGTATTTTGTTAAGTGGGAAAGATTATTCTTGAGGGACAAAAATGAACACGTAAGAACTTGAAAATTGATACGAAAATTGCTATATTATTTCTCTCTTGAGAGGAAGATCCTTTTACATGGCCATTGGCCTTTATATTTATACATAGAGAAATGACATTAAAAATGAATAATTAAGTACAATTATTCCTTCTTAAATGTGTCCGTTTTGATTCTTCGACTTTAATGCTCAACGTTTGAATTTGAGTTGACTCTGATCTTCATGGGCCTCGCCTTTTCTGGCCCAAGCGTCCTTGAACCGACTTACCCGTGTCTTCTACACCGAACTCGTGTCCCAGTACATTCACTTCGGACTCTCGAAGTGGTGACAACCACTTCGACCGTCCCTTCGGTTCACGGGTCCAATGGGCTTCATCCTTTATTGGGCTATTATTTTGACTACGTGGCAATCTTTGGTTGGTCTCGTACTTCTGGTGCGGGATCCGACACCAACAGTGCCCACAATTTTTTCATTAGAATTATAAAATAAAAATATAAACTGCACGCACGGGTTGAATTTGGTATTATTATATACCAAAATATGTTCATAACATATTCGATTGTGCGAATATTTGCTAAATTCCATAATTCTCTCAAACAAATTTCTATTTCAGCAACCAAAGAATTACAAATTAAAAAAGGAACTTCCTAAATTAATTCAAAATAATAGCTAATTTCCTTAATTAACTCAAGATAATCTACGTTTTAGATACGACATATTTATGATATTTTGACTTTTGATCTAACTGAATTATGTGCAATCTCATTTTGTGGTTGTTAAAATAAATTAACTCATTGTTCAAACAATATTAATTTTTTGAAAATAATATTACTTTCCTTTTCAATATCTTAAGAAAAATTATCCATAATTTAGTAGCGTATAAAAAGAAAAATATATCTATTCTAATATAGTAATATTATATATATATATATATGTACTTACAAAAAATATATATATTGATAGGGGCTTTTGCAAAAATGCCCCTTTTTTAATGCCAATTTTCAAAAATGCCCATTTTTAAAACCTTATAAAAAATGCTCTTTAAAATATAAGATTTACCCAAATATGTATGTAACATTATTAAAACATACATAAACTACATTTCTATGTATCTAAAATCTTATAAATACTTTATAAATACCTTATAAATGCATTTTAAATACCTTTAAAAACCTTTAAAATATCTTGTAAAACCTTTGAAAAACCTTTAAAATCCTTTAAAATAACTTGTAAAACCTTTAAAAACATCTTATAAAACCTTATAAATACTTGGATCGAGTCTTCAAGTAGTAGTTACAATCCATAAGTACCTTATAAACCTAATAAAATTTTATAAAAATTTCAGATTTAAAAAGGGGCATTTTTGAAAATGGATATCTAAAAGGGGCATTTTTGAAAAAGGGCACACCAAAAGGGGCATTTTTAACAATTTCCCATGATACTTACTACTATAAAATATCAAAATTTTATTCTAAAATATATAATATATAAAATTTTGTACTAAATAAAATTCAACTCGTACTCTAGTTTATATCAATTCTCACTTAACTATGTTAACATTTTATATCATGAAATAGATAATGATTTATTCCATATATATTTTTTTATTTTGAACTAAATTAATTCAATTTTTTTATCATTGCTTATGATTTATACTATTCAATAGCTATAATGTTACCACTCAAAGTAAATTCCCAACCGCTCTCATTTACCGTACCGCCTTTTCCATTAGCTATCTTTAACAGCATTATCTACAACCGCTATAAATTCTTTAACCACTTGGTTTAAACGTGATTACCAATTAGAGACCCATAATCTTAAAAACAAGTTAAAATCTACCAAACATTCATTTTTTTTTTAACAACTGAAGCTTTTTATTAAATTGTATAAGGTTGATACAAATAGGGGATCAAAACAGGAGGAGGAACAGAGTACACTAGTGATATAATGAACTAAGAGAAAGGGCTTCTTGGACCATCTTGTCTGCTGCACTGTTTCTTTCCCGATTAACATGATCTAAAGATGAGAGGGGAGCTTTGCCATCCAATGCCGTATCTGTGAATGATCCTCACACTTATTGATCCAATCTGCCAAACATTGATGACCTTGATTTCAAAATACATTCAAATCCATTGAAATACAAAATTCAATAACACCTAGTAAATTTAAAAGTTCTAAATACAGTTAATTTTGGATCAAACAATGCAAATGCAGCGCATGACTGAGTCCGCGTCAGAAAATGGGGCCAACTGCTCCGTAGCCGCCAAGAATCTCGAAGGTGTGGACCTTTCCTCCTTTATTCGAGTTGGACGTTTATTGAAAGACAAGTATATATTATTATATAAATAATTTCAAAAATTCAGTTTCTCAGATCCCGATTCCTTTCTCTTGATCATCATCATCATCTTCTTCCACCAAATTAATGGATAAATACAATACTTTATCAGATTTTCTCAAGGAGTTCTACATCCCTACGTACGTCCTGTCGCCGGAGGAGGAGGAGGAGGAGGCTGTTCCTCCACCTGCGAGCCCCGTCCTTGTCTTCATCAACTCCAAAAGCGGTGGTCAGTTGGGTGGCGAACTCATTCTCACCTACCGATCTCTTCTCAATCACAATCAGGTCTTTGATCTCGACCAAGAGACTCCCGATAAAGTGCTCCGCAGAATCTATCTTAACCTCGAGAGGCTCAAAGATGACGATTTCGCTCGTCAGATTCGGGAGAAATTAAAAATCATTGTAATTCCTGAAGAAAGAGACTGTTTTCTGAAACCAAATGAATGCAACATGTACTAATTCCATCCCCATCATTATTAGGTTGCAGGAGGTGATGGCACTGCTGGGTGGCTCCTTGGAGTTGTGTGTGACCTTAAATTATCACATCCTCCTCCAATTGCCACTGTACCTTTGGGTACAGGAAATAACCTTCCCTTTGCTTTTGGATGGGTGTGTTACTTACTACACTCCTCTCAATCAATACACTTGCCTGCCTATGTTTTTTTTCTTTCTTAATTACTATAAGTGTATCTCTCTCTCTCTCTCTCTCTCTACAGGGAAAGAAAAATCCAGGAACAGATAGGACTGCAGTGGAGTTGTTTTTGGATCAAGTGTTGAAGGCAAAAGAGATGAAGATTGACAAGTAATTGTTACATCTATCTCTCTGTCTCCACAGTTTTTGTTAGTCTTTACTTTTGGTGTATGTATAACCGACTATCTGCTGTTTCAAGTTGGCACATACTTATGAGGATGAAAACTCCTAAAGAAGGTGGTTCTTGTGATCCTGTTGCTCCTCTTGAATTACCACATTCTCTACATGCATTTCACCGTGTTTCTCCAACAGATGAACTAAACAAGGTAATTAACCTTCCGCCTGCCATTATTATATAGCTGTGTCTCTTTCTTTCTTTTTTTGTCTTATATCCCTTCATGTTTTCAGGAAGGCTGCCACACATTTCGAGGGGGGTTCTGGAATTACTTTAGCCTCGGTGAGACCACTATTGCTCCTCTTGCTTCCATCTAACTTTGGATTTCCCACAAGTCATAAGCAAAATAGCACTCTAGTTAGGAGTTGATCAGCTAACTTATTGAGTTTCCATCTTATTATGTAGATAACAAACTGCCATGAAGTTATTGGATTGTTTGTATTGAAATTAAATAAACAAAACCAGTTATCGTCCATGATCATTTTGATTATCAATCTTTAAAGACAAATCTCCTTGAAAGTTCTTTCTATTGTGCTTCTGCAGGAATGGATGCTCAGATTTCTTATGCGTTTCATTCTGAGAGGAAGCTTCACCCTGAAAAATTTAAGAATCAGCTGGTTAATCAGGTACCATTTTGAGTTTGACCTTTTAGATTACACCTTCTCTTTTTAACCCCCCTTCACTGGAATTTATACTAAACAAATAATAAATACTTTGCATTTGCTTCACACTTTCTTCTCCCATTGCCAGAGTACGTATGTAAAGCTTGGCTGCACGCAAGGATGGTTTTGTGCCTCTCTTTTCCACCCTGCTTCACGGTGTGTATAGACATACTTTCGTTTCATTGTTTTTCTGTTTCTGAGTTTCTGGACATGAATGATTATATTGCTCTGCAACACTACTGCCTTTTCTTTTGTTTTTAGTATACTGTTATAGTGTTAGTAATTAGAAATTTGGTGCCCATGATTCTTTTCAGCATATGTTCATTTTGCTGCTTGGGTCTTGTTTTGTGCTAAACAATTGTCAAATTTGACGTACTCTCCAACATCAATATAGAAACATGTAATCTTATGCTGGTTTTATATTCTCGGTTAAATGGTCCACATTTCATTCTTTTGGCTGTAATTTAATTTCTGTTTATACATGATTTTGCTCTCTATCACAATGTTAAGGAAAGCTCTATGGCTTCCCCTGCAGGAATATAGCTCAGCTTGCCAAGGTTAAGATTGCAACTAGAAATGGCCAGTGGCACGACCTCCACATACCTCATAGGTAATTTTTATTCATCCAGTGTTTATTGTCCTGAGGGATCACTAGATACAGTCCAGGATGGACATGTTGGGTAGTCTTGGGGTTTTTCTCTGTGTGGGACCTTTAACTATATATGGTTACATCTCAAATGTAACAAAGCAATGTCCTACTTTCTTGCAATATGCTGTTCATGCTCGAATATAAACTTCTCCAATCCCGACATTTGTTTCTGCTCTTGCAGCATCAGGTCCATTGTATGTCTGAATCTGCCTAGCTTTTCTGGAGGTTTAAATCCTTGGGGCACACCAAATCCCAGGAAACAACGCGATGTAGGTTTTACAAACTCTTGACATTGCCTGAGTGCTACATAAGTTTATGTATTTATTATCTTCGCCATGGTATATGCATGTTTCTTTGTTGTGACACAAACAGAGAGGCTTGACTCCCCCGTTTGTAGATGATGGCCTCATTGAGGTTGTTGGGTTTAGAAATGCTTGGCATGGTCTTGTTCTGCTCGCTCCAAATGGACATGGGACACGACTTGCCCAGGTAAGAATTGTACAAGTTGGAAGTGATAAGGACACACACACACACATAAAGATATGATGATTGAGTGCATACAAATGATAACTTCTGTGACTAGGCAAATCGCATTCGCTTCGAATTTCACAAAGGTGCAACTGACCATACATTCATGAGGATGGATGGGGAGCCCTGGAAACAGCCACTGCCACTGGATGATGAAACTGTGATGGTAGAGATTTCACATCTTGGCCAAGTGAACATGCTTGCAACTCATGACTGTCGGTCCAGAAGCATGTTTGACCCTTCAACACCACGCCATTATGATGCTGCAGAAGAGTATGATGATAATGAAGACGAATCAATGGCTGAAGGCGAGGAATTTAGAAAGTTTGGTGCTGCGGATACCTTCAAGATTCCTGATGAGGTTGATATTTCTCAACTTAGTTAGACAATTAACCATTTTCATTGTTGATTCTATGCATTCTTCCTCCGGTCTCTGAATTTTTTTTATTGCCACTTTCATAAAGAACAAGCTAGCAGCAACTGGTATAGATTGGTACCCGTCTTTATTCTTTTCTTTTTTTTTTGGTCGTTCACGCTCAATGGCTGAGATTATGTATCTGGATTTATAGCAACGCGATTTCTCCCTTCTATTTCAAGCGCATGTACTACAACAGCAGCTAGCAGGACAGTGCAATTTAGATGTTCCAAGTGAGAAGTGAGTCTCTGTTGCAACTCCTTAAACATAGAATCTGACCTTTTTTATAGGGAAAACACAGTAATGAAAAAGGCAGGGCTTCAAGGAGGAGGAATTCAAATGTTCATGGTTGGTCACATTTCTTCTGAAGGCGGCACTTAAATCTTAAACAAACTTGTCATAGTAACAGCACAACACTAACCTCATCAATGTATAAAATACCAGATGAATCAACATTATGTAATTCATGTAATCGAAAAGAAAAGCAAACATATACACGTCTGAAATGTTCTTAGAAATGAGATATCTTGGGCATAGTTGTTGCTAAGAAAAAGAAAAAAAAGTCACAATTGATTTTTTACTATTTCCATTCAACCAAGAAAGATGGGTTATATAGAGTATCTCCAAGACACTTGGAGATTGTTTCATTAGCCTTCTGGGATTCGGCTCTCTCCCCTTGCTTCTTCTTCTCCCTGAGTAACCAAAAGTAAAAATATCAAGTTAGGCTCTATATAAAAGAGTTTAATCGTGCAGCAAGTACTGTATATGCTCAAATAGACCAGTGCCTAGTGTAGATAGATAGGGATTCAATATCAGTACCTCTCGACATACTCCCTAAGCAATTCCTTGGCTTGGACAAGCTTTGACAGCAGGTTACGATACACATCCAGGTCCCGATCCACGCTTTTCTTGTTGATATTTAGGGATGCACAAAGCTGTTCCATGAGACACAAATAGGAAAAATGTGAGATGTCAGAGAGAACACACTTGCACATTGCCAGTGAACATAATGGCAATGTGAGATCTCAGACGAATAGAATCACCTTGTCCAAGACAGTTGGATCAGTAGCACTTGCAAGCTCAAGTAAACGAAAGAGCCCAACGGCGAAGAACCTACTGTAACTAAATCCCTCCTTACTCGCAGCTCTTCCTGCAATGTCCTTAAGAAGTGCTTCAATTTCTCCTTGTCTAGAGGAAAAGTCAACTAGTGAAGCAGAAGTCTGACTTCTTGCCCATTCCTCCATCTTCTGAGCATCAATTCTGTTTGAAGCAAAAAAAAAGGTTGTCATCTTCAACAAGAAGACATTATTATCAAGGAGAAGATGGAAGCTAACCGGTATTGTTTAGGATCTTCATTCAAGGCTTCTATGTAAGCTTTAAAAATGGCATCTCGATCTTGATCGCTCGGATATCCTTCCATGAGCTGATCATACACAGTGACAAAGCCAAGTGCAAAAACAGGATCGTAACGATAAGTCTTCTTATACCTCATCAAATGCTGCTGTACAATGAGCTCCTGCAAAACCGTGTTGTAGATACTCGGGATAGGTCGCTTGTAAGCTTTTAGGAAATTCGACTTTGTCTCTGATACAGGAGGCACATCTGACCAACAACAGAAAAGAGTTCATTCATTGAGACTAATAAGAGCAAAACTGACTAATCCAATGCAGAGTGGGGATAAAGAATTCACCGGTAACAGTGGACATGCAGTGAATAAGAGATCTCGAAGTGGAACGCGAAGTCAATGAGTGGCGAGAAGACTTGGTGCAGATGCGAATTGTGGAGGCGAGAGGACGACAAGGTGCGAAATTGGAGATCTTGTCCGATTGACCCAAAGCTGGTAAGGAAAGGGAAGAGATTGCAGTTGCAACCATTGCGAAACTGAAGAGAGAAAGAGGAGAAGAAGAGTTGTTGAGACTTGAAAGAGGTTTTCGCTTTGCTTAATCAAAAAAATCTCATTGGAAGGATGATTGATGGCTCTGGTTTGGTTGGATCTTCTGAGTTTCGACTTTTGAGTGGCTTATCCAACTCCACGAGCTCTCGGTAGTACGACACGTGTCCCTTGTGTGTCCACGTTAAGACTAGGCCCATTTACTCTGGATTTTGCTCATCTAATAAAGCCCATAAATAAATGCAGCATGTCAAATTCCGTGGGTACTAGTAATAATAATAAATAAGTGATAACACACAATCATAATTGTACAAACTCGTTTATTCATGCTCAAGAGTCATCGGAATTCAACTTGTTAGTACATTGATCGTTTCCAACAAACTTAAAATTGCTTTACTTAATCTTAATCAGGATTTGATCTCTTTGTTTTTTCAGATGACGGGTTATTGATCTTCTCACTCTCTTTCTATGGTAAGAATAATAAGATTCGTAAAAATATGGGGAATGAGGGAGATGACAAAAGCTGTCTCCACCCAAAACCATAAAACTAGTCAGTCATACAACTAAGCATCTATACATTCTAACATGTGAAAGTGCAAAGGTTCTAAATTGTATCAGAAGAAGAGTTTTGTGGGGGATCATGATCGTCCTTGTGGTTAGAAATGGGAAAGTGGTAATCATCCCATAGAGGGCTTCCAGGTCCCCATTCCTCTGGAATTGCATTGAACCATGCCTCAGCCCAACCTGTCTCCTCACTCACCCTTCCCACTGCCAATGCCGCGCTTGAATCATCTTCTCTTCTTCCGCTTGCCTCTTCACTAGTAGTCGCCGTCTCGCATTGTTTCTGATGCACCGGAGTTGACTCTTGTTTATTGAGAAAAAGCTCGGGAAAATTGAGCCTGGCGGTCTCACCCCTCAACTTGAAGGCCTCGCGGTCGTAAGCCATGGCGGCTTCCTCTGCTGTATCGAATGTCCCTAGCCAGAGACGTGTCCTGTTTCGTGGCTTACGGATCTCAGCAACCCATTTTCCCCAGTGGCGTTGTCTGACCCCTCTATATAGCTTGGTGGCACTGAATGGTTGAATGGGCGGCCTCGTCAGTGGCAGATCACTTTCTTGTCTTAACATGTTCATCATCATCATTCTTCCGCTCGGGCTCAGCTTCAATATGTCTCTCCAGTACTGCAACATATGTTGTTGTTGTTGTACTAAATATGGCTGCACCTGTAGTTGAGGACCAAACGAGATCATTTGTTGCTGTCTTTGTCCTGAAGGGTCATTCGGGTGTAAAAATCGTTGTTGATTTTGAATCGCTGGAGCGAGGGAAAAGGGAAAAGCGACACTCGAAGAAGAGACAGGGCATTTAGTTGTTGGTGGCGGCTGAAGGAGATAAGGATTATGTCGGTCAAAGGTCCTAGTCTTCCTAAGACCTCTTTGGGACGTAGAGGAAGCTTCTCCTAACCACATGTCCGAGCCAGAACCCGAATCTTTATACTTGCCGCTACTAAACTGGAACTCCTCATCCATTTTCTCTGATTCATTTGTACCAAGGCTCCTGATGGATTTTCCCTTGTTCTTAGCTGTAGCCATAGATGATTCTCACTATCCTATTCAGGTAACGAGGAGATTTGGAATGCAGAAGAGAAGATCAGCTACGTCTTTGAGAAAACAGAGCAAGAGCGGGAGAAACAGAGAGATTTGTTGTGTGGTTGGTTATGAATTATTTTCCCCCTTTTATATCAGAACCGGTGGGTATTAACTAAGATGTTGACATATAGCACTAAGCAAAATATCTCATCCCGTCTCAGGACCGGACCATGCCCTCTTCTGTTTTTTTGGACGGTGAAACATTCTTTATTTTTCTTCTTAATTATTACAAATATGTGCATGTATACATTGTTGATAGTATGGTCGGCTAACCGCGGCTAAGGATGACATGAGATGAGAATGAGATTGAAGCAATTGATTACGATGTAACGTTTATTTTAATTAGGCTTATTATCATCATCTATCGAGGTTTAGCAATTTGTCGTCAAAGTCCGCCTTGACTTTTCTTATTTTCTCATTTTTTTAGTATATCCCACCTACAGAAGACATTAACGACAAAAAAAACCGACCAAAATTGAAACACACAAATAACTTAAAAGAAAAATATCTCATGTACCCTGCCCATGTCAGTAGCACCATATATATAACTTATTGTAAAATTTGTAAATTTTATATGCAACCTTATAGGGTTGAAAAATGAAATGTTTTAATGTCTCTCGACTAGAACTTAGAAGCCTTGGTCTTTTGGCATATTAAAATGACGTGGACGCAATGAGGTGGAGAGGCTGAAGTAATAAACTTTCGGCAGAGGATAAACAAACATAAATAAACAAACTCCAAAACAAAGAAAAAAAGACAGAGAAAAGGAAAGCTTAAAGCTTAAAAAGTCGGTGACGGACGGAATGGGTCAGCTCTCTCCACTTCTCCACTTTCCTTCTGTCTCTCCAATCATAAAACTTATATATTATTCTTGAAAAAATCATTGCCAGCTACACGAATTATACGCCAACACATCACTACACATGCAGACTATTTTAATGTCTCGCTAACTACACGAACTATTAGTATTACATACGGACATCCCCGAACTATCATCGGTTATGTGTGAAACACCATAACCATCATTTTAAGATAATATAAATATCTTGTTAACTACACGAAGTATTTCTTTTTTTTGTCAACTACACGAAGTATTTTTCATAAAATTTTTTTTTAAAAAAGTAATTAAAAAATAAAAAATAACTAAAAAGTAAATATTACACTATTATAAATTATAGGGAGACTCACAAAAATGCCCCTTTTTCAATACCCCTTTTCAAAAATGCCCCCTTTGGCTGTATATTTTTAAAAATATCCCTTTTTATGTACAAAATGACTAAATTATCCTTCTTTTAAAAAAAGATATCACAAATA